TACTACTACTACTACTGCTACTACTGCTGCTATTGCTTTTACTGCTACTACTACTTCTACTAATATTACTACTATTATTGCTACTACTACTATTACTATTACTTCTACTACTATTACTAGTACTGCTGCTACTACTATTACTACTACTACTACTACTACTGCTACTGCTATTGCTGCTGCTACAGCTATTATTACTACTACTTAATACTACTTATAAACCTTACTACTACTGAAAATACTTTTAATTCTAGCTCTACTGTCAATACTATCACTGCTAATGAGCTCACTTTTTAAGGCCAACAAACAGTTTTTTTTTATTTTATTTTATTTTTATTTTTATGTTGCTATGTAGATAACAACAAACATAGTAATGGGAAAATATCATTATATTATAAGTGTAGCCTAATGGTGTCCCACAGGGTTCTATACTGGGACCATTTTAATCTGATATTTACGCATTTAAGTATTTAAATGCATGTTCCAAATTATGTATCTATTTATCCATCCATCCATCCAAGATATCACTAGTTGTGATTATAAAATAATAAAATAATAAATAATAAAAATGTTAACTAATAAATAATAAAAATGTCATCATATTATAATGTGTAATGGTGTCCCACAGGGTTCTATACTGGGACCATTCCTGTTTACTATTTTATCTGATATTTGTAAGGATTTAAATGCATGTTTTGAATTATGTTTCTTTATCTATCTATCCATTTATTAATTTATCTATTTATGTATTTATTTATTTATACAAGCCTCTGAGTGATGGGGATGAACTACCGCATGTATCCATATTATGTATATTTTTTTATATATATATATTGGTTTTGAAAGCGAGATATTCACTCACCTTTTATAACTTATCATAAAAAGGAAAAAAAAAAAAAGCACCACTTGAAGAAAGCTTATATTACAGAGATTATCCCGTTTGGTGAAAGAAACATCAATTCAGTATGCAACGTCTGTGTCTCATCAGCTCTCAAGTCATCCTTTTAGACAGCTAACATTCAAGTGATTGGCCTGTCTCTTCTCATTTTAAGAGTTTGAGTTCCACTGTTGACCTTTATCTCATATCACAGCATTCCATTATGAACTGTCGAAGAGCCTCTTCAAACCACAAGTTATCAAACAGAGCAAATACCATCCACCATTTTGTACTTTCATTTTTTGTACAATATGAACACTTTTTAAACTTATGAAGTATAGATGAGTGACCATAAAGAGGAAATGTCCACTACTCTGACTTAACATCAGCTTAAAACGTGGTATCATTTTACTACAGCTACTACTAAGACTTGCACATGTAACTAAGGAACACAATTAAGTACCACAATTTCCTCCACAAACAACAAAATCTCAAGTTTTTCATTCAGTCTTTTTGTCAGTTCTTCTGGTTAAAATGTGAGCTTTGAGCAGAAACCTTTTACTAAAACATAAATTTCAAATCTAATAGCAATCGCAATTCCATATTTTTGTCCAAAAACTGTGCTGCCTTTGCTCTTTCCATTCATATCCTTACTACTACTAATGCTCAGAGACATTTTACTCAAGTGAGAGTAACGTTACTTCGAAATAATAATACTCAAGTAGAAGTACAATGTAAAAAAAAAGGTATTTGGGTAAACGACGACTCAGGGAACAGTAATTTGAAGAGGAACTGTTGAGGTCTGATTTATAATTCAAAGTTAATGTATTTTGAAGGACAAAATACTAAATAATGCACAAAACCTGGTATTGTCAAAGGACTGACACAAAAACGAGACAAACTAAATCATACAGTATGTGAAGGGGTGTTGCAAGAAACACGAATGTTCAAATCATTTCATAAAGCTTTTGTCAGTTGCAGAACTACAACTTATAGTCAAGTAATAGTACTGTTACTTCAACACAAATATTGCTGAAGTAGGAGTGAAAGAATGTTGATAGAAAAGTGCAGTATCTTAAAAAAGTTGCTCAAGTATATGTAATCGAGTACTATGCACCTACAATACTACAACTTCTATGACTGCTATCACTACTTCAGCTGCCGGTTTCACTTCGTGGAAACTGTCAGACCTCACAGCATTAGGATTGGTTCGCTCGACAGTAGGCGGGTACTTTTTTTTATTTAACCAATCGTTGCTGTTTGGTCGTGACGTTTGTAATGAACCAAATCTCGTAGGAAGAAGGACAATAACGTCTTTCCCCTTGATAAAATTCACCAAACATTCTCTTTTTTCTGGCTTTAAATCCTTGATCTCGGGAATTGTTGCAGCACAGAATGTATGGCCCTTTAATCTTTTAAATCCGGCCCACCAAACTTGAATAATAGTAATAATAATAATAATTCTGTGTGTTTTAAAAGTCATTTCAATAAATAGTAAATACCGTGGGACTTGAAAGATTTTGTTGTAATGCTTTGTAATGATTTTCAGTTATGGAATATTTCAATAACATGGGGTCTGTTTTCTACATATCCCCTGTTATTTTTTTCTCTTATGAGGTGAATTACCAAAAAAAACTCCATTGATCTGCTCCTGGTCCGGCCCTTCTGTCAAATTTTAGAACCCTTTGTGGTCCAAAAGTCAAAACGTTTGCCCACCCCTGATCTACATCCATCTCGACCGCTTTGTTTACTGTTGAGTTGTACCACAAAAGGGGCGCGACGAGTTTGACATCGTGGCTTCACAACTCTTCGCTGATTGGCCGGTGCGCGGTCTAAGTTCTTGCAAATCGTCTAGTGTATTCTGATTCCTGATCTAGTCGCTGGAGAGAAATGAAATTGAAATCTAATTATTTTACCTATAAACGATGCATTGTGTAACTTTTCTGGTGGAGGCTCTACCTTCGATTTGTTCCATTACAGGTGGTTTTATAGCTCAAAAACACCCAGAAAAACAACATTCTGACCTCACCTCTCCACAGATCTAACCTCTAACTTGGTCTGTCTTAGTCTTCATGAAGATAGAAAGGTTTAATGCCATACTGTGAAACATTTCATACCAAGCAACAACACCTCCGTGGAGAAAAGTACTTCACAGACCCTCCACCAGAAAAGTTACACAATGCACCTTTACGTCTTTATTCTCGAACAATCAAACTTGAAAGCAGTCATTTTTGAAGTGGCGCGTAAACAAAAACTCAATTAGCAAGAAAATGGGTGTTTCCACAGACATTTGATCCTTATGTACAACCAGGCAGAAGATTAGTTTATGGGCTTCAGAAGTAGCATTTTAATTTGGGGAACCTAATTAAAAAGTCCATTAAATGTGCATGGGCGAAAGCAACTCAAAAATGTACATTATGGGAAATGGAGCAAAGCGGAGAAATAATTGATAAAGTCCACAGTACTTTGAGTATGTGGACTGTGTGTACTGTTTGATCTAGTACTGGTATGATCCTGGTTTAGTTCTGATGTAGACCTGGTTTGGTCCAGTTTTAGTCCTTGCTTAGTCCTGGTCTAGTATTGAGTTGCTTTAAACGCCGTACTTTTACTCCTACTTGAGTAATATTTTGTATTGAAGTAACAGTACTCTTGAATAAAAGCTGTGGTTACTCATCCCATTGGTGGGACCAAGTCGTTGTTTTGCAAGCTTCAAGTAAGTCTCAAGTGTTTGACCTCAAGGCCGAGTCAAGTCCCAAGTCAAATAGAGTCAAGTCCAAGTTGAGTCTCGAGTCACTGGCCCATAAGTCCAAGTCGAGTCCAAGTCGTCTGCTTTGAGCTTCAAGTCATTTCAAGTCTTTAAACCAAAGTACCAAATATAGTAATGTGTTGTTTTGTGTCTTGCTTTTGAATGTCTGTGGTAAATGGCCTTGACTTTGCTCTCCATGCTAAGTCACTCCCATTCAGAGCACTATAACAACACAATTGACGTGCGTTTCGATTTTTGCAATTTATATGAATTTTAAGACAAATTGTACTTAAAAAATCGTAAGTATATTTATATGTGAGTATTTACTGAGTATATAAAAGTTGTAGAAATATAAATTTTTCCTTTTTAAACGTCTTGACAAGATCTTAGTGTGAGTCATTACGGTCAGAACAGAAAGAATTCAGATTTAAAAGTGCTTCTCAAGTCTTCTCAAGTCACTGACCTTCAAGTCCAAGTCGAGTCCCAAGTCTTAGTCCATTTTATCAAGTCTCAAGTTAAATCTCAAGTCCTAAAAATAGTGACTCAAGTCTGACTCGAGTCCAAGTCACGACTTGCAAGTCCCCAACTCTGACTTGTCCCACTGTGACAAAAGCTTTATGTTGACAATATGAAATGATTTGAACAGTTTCTTATCTTTCTTCTTTCATTTTTCCTGTGAAAATAAAAAAAATTCAGCATTATTTTATCTTTTGTCCTTCAAATTACATTAACATCAAATTGTAAATCAGATGGTATATCCAGAAAATGTTTCTTACTCCAGTAGTTGCTTTATTTGGGTCATTTGTTTTACCGCTACATTATACTTCAACTTGACTTAAATTATTTTGAAGTAAGCACACTGAGTATTTTTTCAACTACTGTATCCACATTTGGTCTAGCCCAAGTTTATTTCTGGGTTTAGTCCACAGGGATCTCCAGCCTTTTTTCTCCAGTGAGCTACCTTTACAAAACGAAAATGCCAGAGAGCTCCCAATTTCAGCAGTCCCAAAGAAACTGAGTAAATAACAGAGCAACGGCAAGTCTTACATGGGGAACAGTTGCTTATAAAACATAAAACCGTTATCCATTTATTGGTGCATCATTAGCAATCGGTTCCAGTCAAATGAAGCTACGATTATTTTAACCGACAAAATAGCTAAATAAGAACACCAGGATCATGTAAAGTGCGTTAATATGAACATTTCTAGATCCAAGTTACAGAGAAAGAGGTGACAGTATTATAATGTAAGTCAATGGGAGCCAGGGTCAGAAGGAACCAGAAGCTCCTTCATACAAACTTCTGTTTTGGTCCCAAATGAGTCCCAGTTTATGCGAAGTGAAGTGCAGCTAGAACACAGCCTTGAAGTTTTGTCGACTTACCGGTGAGGTTGCGGAGTCCCAGCTGTTTCAGGCCGTAGTAGCCGTCGCGTCTGTAGTTGAGGAAAATGGCGAGAGAGTAGCGTCCTTCGTAAAGTTTGGTTCCTCGGATGATTCTCAGATTCTCCAGGGGAAGGTAGTCGAACTGGTTTAGAGCCACCAAGACGTAGCCAGTAACTTCACGAATGGACTGCGGAAAGAGAAGAAAGTATAAGAATGAAAAACATGATAATAATGTTCAGATTTCAAACTCGATTTCGATACTAAGGAATAGATTGATTCCGATACTACAATGATAATAAAAAAACAGAATATGATTTTCAACATTAAATTGTAGCACTTTCTTTTCTATTCCCATGTGGTCTCCTATTCCCAAGTGGTCCGTGTAGATTCCGTAGTGGTCCATGGGTGTATACTAGTCTATGTACGCTTATATTTTTCTGAAACAGCTCTAGATAATTATAAAGACATTCAGAAAAGCTTCATTTCTGTGCCTGTGAATGTGACTTTTTGAGTATCGATACCCGCTCAAATGAGTATCTAGTTTTGGTGTCTGATTTTCACACTTTTGAGAATCCTCTACATAACTATATTTTGTGCAATAAAAGAAAAAAATACAAATAATACTCAAGAATGAAATGACGTTTAAGGGTCTTTCCATGACTGAGAAAATTCTAGATAAATTCTATAATTCTGCTCAAAACAGGGTCAGGGTGGGGTTAGCAAAATATTTTTAATGACAAAACTATAAGGAGTTGAGACCTAATATTTCTGACTTTTCCTATTGGAAAGTGTGTGAGCCTCCTAGAATTTTTTGAGTCAAATCTGAGATGGACGAGAGGGGGGATTTGGAGATTTGGCGTGGAATGACCCTTAATATTTCTCGGTGATACAATGCAATTATTTGGTTTCTAATTTACTATATCATTTACCATAAAAGGTAAATAGAATATATTCATTTAACATAAACATACATACCATTTAGTTGTGGCTACATATACATATCAATGCTCAAATGTGCTTTGAATAGAATAAAAAAAGATAAATAAGAAAGAATAAAAAGACATTTAAAAATACATACACATAAACATATATGGTACATTTAAAGAGGGGTATTACACTCCTGTGGAGTATTCATTCTTAACACATAACATGTAATTCACCATATTACAGTTTATTGCTTTGAAAATTACGTATTCACATTGTCCCCTGTCTTTGCTCCCCGCGCTAGGTCACTCCTCCTTCAGATCGTTATAACAACACAATTGCCGTGCATCCCGCAAATGAAACCACTGCATATCGCATCAGGTTTGTAAAGTTGTAGTGTGTTGTTTTGTGTCTTGCTTTTGAATATTTATGGTAAATTGCCTTGACTTTGCTCTCCGCGCTAAGGCACTCCCCCTTCCGAGCGCTATCACAACACAATCGGCATGCGTCTCGGTAATGAAACCACTGCACATCGCATCAGGTTTGTGAAATTGTAGTTTATTCGTTTGTGTTTTGCTTTTGAATATTTAAGGCAAACTGCTTTGACTTTGCTCTCTGCACTAACTTGCTCCCCCTTCAGAGCGCTATCACAACATCGGCGTGCATCTTGCAAATGAAATTACTGCACATCGCATCAGGTTTGTAAAGTTGTAGTATGTTGTTTTGTGATTTGCTTTTGTATATTTATGAAAAATCGTCATGTAGGAGCATGGGTAACGTAGGGTTTGTATTGGCTTGTGCAGCTAAACGTAACAAGGGTTCGAATGGGACTTGGTAGAGATCGCTACATTATTCAAACATGCAAGGATGTCATATAAGGCAGGTTTTTGACAAGAGAACATTACGATAACATAACATGGTAGAAAGCTCCAAAAAGTACATTTCGAATGCTATCTCTTCTTTAAAGTGAAAAAATAAAAATAATTCATATATTAAATAGCAAATCTAGCGTTATGAATTCCCTTTACAAACCTCTAAAAACTTGATTTTGAATATTCTATGCCGTTTGACTCAAAATCATCATATCTTTTCCCTTAAAAGCAATTTCATTTGAACTCTTAAAAATGAACCTTTTCTTGGGTTTGGTTCTGAAAGTGTCATGACCAAAGGCGAGTCATGTCATAATGCATAAACGCTCCTTGGCTTCTCATCTTTCTATTTTGACACAAAGCTGCGTTTTAAAAGACCAGGACTGCCGCGTCGAATACACTTAAACCGCTAATGGATTCCTCTCATTTTCTCAGTGCCGAGCGCGCTATTTGCATTTCCAAATGTCAGGCTCATGAAAAATTTGGACATACGGTCTGGAATGATTAAAATGTCAGCTCGATTGCGGAGTGATTACACTTGTCTGATTAGAAGCGCTCCGTCGGCATTTCTAAGGACCGGCAACACACTTATAAAAGCCCTACATTGCGTCAATATCAGGGTTTTGAACTTGATTCTCAGTGTGATATTGAGACCAAACAGTTATTCTTAAGTGGGATGATTTTGTCCCAAGTGGCTTGCCGTAGAGCGCCATTGTCGGCCATCGCTGCTGTGAATGAAATGACATTTTTTAAAGTAGACATATTGTGTTTGTGTCTGCCGTACTGTAGTTATCATCTTTGACACTAGTAGATTGTTATGTTACAATCTGGACATTTTAAATCGCAATATTCATCTAAAACGACTTAATAAAAGAGTGCCCAAAGGTAGCTGACATTGCCGTAAATGTCATCACAACAAAGAGTTTGATGGATAGCTTTGTTATTTTGTTTTTTTTTTCATTTGTACCAAAATGACGCTATACCAAAACCTACTTGTATCGCCGATTTAGAAAATAAAATTGGAGAATGAAGTAAGTAAGTAAAGTGATGAAAACGGGAGTTGATTGGCAAAATGCCCTCTTGAAAAAAAAAAGATGAAAGATTGCTAAAATATGCACAGATCACATCCAAATACAAATCCAAGAAATTAACGTGATTTAATGATCCAAACTGTGCAACCATTAGCATAATTTATCAGCCGGTTTCAATTTGTGGAAACTGTCTGACCTCAAAGTATTAGGATTCGTTCGCTTGACAGTAGGCGGGTTACTTTTTTAATTAAATGAAACAGAAAATGCACACCAAAATTCTTGTAGAGGTGCAAATGCAAGGAGCAGCCAGACAAAAGCGAAAAAATGAATAGCACTATCAGATGGGCAATGTCCAAAAGCGCTTTTTTTATTATTTAAGTTTCGGCAAAAAAAGCCTTCATCAGATATTTTTCTGGCTTTGAACCACAGCACACACTTTTTTAAATTTAACCAATCGCTGCTATTTAGTCGTGATGTATGTAATGCACCAAATCCCGTAGGAAGAAGGGCAATAACATCTTTGCCCTTGATAAAATTCACCAAAAATAATTTTTGTTCCTGCTTTAAATCTTCGATCTCGGGAACCGTTGCTAACACAGAATGAGTCCGTATACATGCATATCAATAACCCGGTTATTAGCCATATCCCGGTTATGTCAGTATTCGGGTTACTGCGTATACATGCGCACTGAGAAACCGGGATACTCATATTCGCGTATACATGATCAAATGGAGTATCCCGGTTTCTTGACATAATTTTACAAATGCGCAGGCGCAAAAATTAACTTAAATCAATTTCATAAACCAGGAAAAATAGAAACCGTGAGCTCCTTTAGCATAAGAAGCTAAGGAGCTACGAGATCTCCCACAATCCACTGTGCAGATTCTTCATTAAAATCTTCTGCATAAATAAACTCAACTTTACAACATATAAACCATAAACACTATAGACACATCAGCCCGTTTGATCAGATCATTCAGCTGTGATCACATTTGTTTACGTTTTACAGAAACGAAACTTAAGACCGTTTGGCTAATTAGCATAAACTGTTAGCGGCGATAAAAACAACTCGCTCCTTGCGCCGCTGATGTGATCAGTTTCTTTTGGACTAAAGGACACGCCTCTGTGGATTATGTGTGTTATTTCTGTGACAGAAGAGGCGCTAATGATGGTAAGTGTGTTCTGTGCGTATAGAGTATAGGAGATAGTTCATGTTTTAGCTTTTCAGCGATCACACGAGTGCAGGTCGTACGAGTGCAGATTGTACGTGTGCATGTTTAGCGCAGCTCTTTATTTTACAGTCATTTCACTCGTTTGGTCACTTTATTTATGTTGGTCAATTTATTTATGTGACTACTGTTGTGGTGAAAGGCTGGAAAGTGTCTTTTGGACGCATGCACACTCAACTTTATGTTGCAGTAACCGGGGTACTGCGTTTACATGCCACAAGTAACCCGGTTACTATCGGAATAAACCAGCTACAGTAACCCGGTTTCTAATAACCGGGATACTGCCATAACCGGGTTACTGAAACCGGGTTACTGCGTATACATGCACCATCAAGAAACCGGGATACTCAAAAAACCCGATCATAACCGGGTTATTGATGTGCATGTATACGCACTCAGTGTCTGTTTTCGTCTACATCCATCTCGACGCTTTGTTTACTGTTGTGCTGTACCACAAAAGGAACCCAGACAAACGCGAAGAGTTTGACGTTACGCCTTCACAGCTCTTCACTGATTGGTCGGTGCGCTACAACTTCTTGCAAACCGTTTAGTGTATTCCGATTCCGGACCTAGTCGTTGGAGAGAAATCAAATCGAGCGGACGCACTAGGTGACACCAGCCTGGATAGTGAAAATGGGAACTGATTGGCAAAATAGTGTCTTGAAAATAAATGATTAAAGCTAAGTACAAATCTGAGAAATTAACATGATTTGATGATCCAAATTGTGCAGCCATATGATCAAAACCAACATACGTAGATATTGGCTCATGACATAAGGGCAGTTTGATGTACATCCTGCCACCGATGCCAAAAGTAGCAGCTAAACTAGATTACACGTAAAAAAAATTTGAATACCTACATTATGTTCAAGTTCAAAAGGGATTGGGACTGGATCATAGAGCATGAAAAACCTCTGTCCAAATTTTAGACGATCCAACCACAGACGTAATTTGTATCACGTGTCTCTCAAATGCAGAAGACATTGCCTCTGAAAAGTTCTCGTTACCTGAAATAAGTACTAGTTTGGTGCTTCAGTTGTTGATTATGTAAAAAACACCACATTTTCTCAGTCCTTTATGTAGATTTTTGTCCTTTTTACATGTAAGCAGCCATGAGATCCACTCGTCTTTGT